TTGCCCACTGCCAGTGCTGTATTACATACAGTGCACTTTTTTTTTTTCTATCTCATATTCTACGTTGACTCCAAGCAGCCTCGGTGTAAAAGCAGATGAGATGATTTATTTTTATCACTCACTTTTTCTCATGAGAAAGAGAACCCCTTGGCCCTGCCCTCTTTACTGGCTTTCTCTTAGCACAGTCATTTACATCTTGGCAAATGGGGTCTATAAAGTGCTACTGAATTAAATCAGCAACGTGTTTCATCATACTTATTTTGCAATCACTGTGGTTTGCTGGTCTAAATAGCTGCAGTCTCATTGATTCAAGTGGGGTTTTCCTTCTTTGCACGAAAAGGGAGTTGGATCAGCCTGGACAGGTGGCCAGAAGTCATTACAGATGACACACAGCAGAGGCTCAGCCCCTGTGATTTCAGGTCTGATGGCAGTTGTTTGCAATTCTCCTGTACACTCGTAGAAGACGCTCTATGTGTTAAAACTTGCTGCAAGCCTTTGATATCTCTGACCTTTTTTAAAAAAAAGTCATTTAAATTTTGATATTCCCTGAGAAGACAGATGGGTTTTTTGATTGAATAGATAGAGATTTCATGTCTAAACGCATTTCTTGGTTTGACTTTGTTGGACTTGTTAACTGCTCTCTGTATGTTCTATGCTGCTCACAATCTTTTCTTGTCATTTGTTTTTGAATGATACTATCAAAAAGTTACAAAGAATTAAACGTGAAGAAATCCCCCTGGAGAACATTAGTAGTGTCCTGCTAGCGTCTCCCTTTGGATCCACATGTGGATATTCAGGTACCTATAGTCCCACCTGCAACAACACTTCCAAGCCAAAAATTGCTCTTGGTAGCTTCAGATTGGAACAAATGTTTGACTCCAGGTGCCATAAGTAACCAGATACAGATCCTCTGGAAGGAGGTAGGGAAGCTGTGAAAAAATTGCAGAGCCTGTCAAAAGCTTTGGGGAGGATGAGAAAGAGACCTCCAAGTGCTGATGCTGAGCCCAGGACATGCTCAAGAGGCTGCGGTCTCATGAAACAACAGCTGAAATACCAAAGCTGGTGCCCTGTTTTCTTCTTCCATCACCTGAATAAGTCATATGGAAAAAGGGGAAACAATACATTTTCAACAAAATAAGGAAATCCCTCTGAGCAGTTCTAATTTACAGCACAATCATAAAAATCCTGGCAAAAAATCAAACCGTTTCCATATCAATTCAGCGCACAGCATTGCTAGCACGGTCGATGTCAACAGTTAAATAGCTGGGGCAGGGGCAGAAGACAGAGGCTGCTCTGTTCTTGGTGCTGCAGCTCAGACAGAAGATGAAATCATGGTAGTTCAACATTTGGTGAAGACTTAACTACTGATTTTCTGGCTTTCTGTTTATGCTGGAATAAAACCTGCTTGTGCTTGAAAAAATTGTTGGTTGTTAGGAACGTGTATGCATGTGTTTGGCCCTAATTATTTAACAAAACCTTAAAACTCAGGAAATAAAAATACCTGCTTTTGCAAAGCTGTAGGAGAACATAGCTACAGTCTTTGCTTGGTGGTGAGATGGTTCTGGTGCTGCATCTGTAAGGGGTTTTTTTACTGTAATGGTCAGAGAGGGATTTTGAATATCTTACAAACAGGTGCTGGTACAGGAAAAAACAACAGGCCATATTTTTGGCCTTGGCCATATTGTTTATGCCTTTAGGAAGTGCCACTTCTTAACTTATTCAGTATTGAAAGCTTGTTTTCTCTGCATAGTACAGACCCAGGACACATGGCTGAAACTGAATATGGAGCATTGGATGTTTATTGCGGAGGTGGAAAATATGTCTGTTTATTGTAGTTTCAGATTTTGGCTTGGGTCAGGACCAAATTTTTCAAATTTTCGAAGTATTTTGGTATATTGATCCTTGTGACATTTTAGTGTTTATTTCAGACACTGAGGATAGAGGCAATAAGAAAAATTTCCAAAGAGATTCTGCACTCAGTCTGAATTAAATCAAAAGCCAGGTTTCATACAGGGAGTTCAAGCATTTGGTATTTTGGGAGATGATAGTTTCCAGA